AATGCTATAGCCGTTTCTGTCCTACTCGGCCTAACGTGGGCTTTCGGATTTCTGGCAATTGATTCAGACTCATCTGTACGGGATGTGTTTCAGACGTTATTTTGCATTTTCAATTCACTCCAAGGTCTCTTTATCTTTTTGTTGTTCTGCGTACGACAGAAAGATATTCGTGATGCATGGAATGGATGCTGTAAGGAAAGCGAAAGAGCAAGCAGGGTGAAATTCGCCACTGATATGAGCAACAAGGCGAAGGTTAAGGACCAGAGTATTCTATTAACGCATGACTCTACTCAAAACAGTAATACTAAGAGCAATGTTTAAGTGTAAGCCTTGATGTCAATGATGCGTCTATTATTAAAAGTTCTACAGCACGTTTATTAAGCGTCTAGGTCCCCCTTCTCCTAGTAGGCAGTCCGTGGGACAGATTTTCCCACGGAACCATTTACTCTAACCCGTGTGGTCGTGAAAAGATCTGTCGCTGGAAGATAGATTTTAGACATAAAGTGAGAAAGGCATCTGGGATCCTACTTCGGATTTTTTTTTTAGTTTTATAGATACGTAGTTTTCATCCCTCCGCCATTAGGGCATTGAACAATTTGAATTTTCGTATTTTATGTTTGTTTTTGTTAAGGAACAAGATCAATTTTCATTGTGTATTGTACATGTATATAATGACAAATAAATCTATTGAGTATTGAGTTGATGTTTGGAAATGCACTCTCCTGCATTTTGACGTCTATATGTGAAAAAATACACTACTTTAATACATAGAAAATTAATAATGATGATAAAGAAGATGATATTGTTGAGGAAGGGGATGCAGCGTAGCTGGGTGATAACAGACTCCTGCGCAAGATTACTTACTTGGTCCTTTAAAGTGAAGTATCAACCGGTGCCAAACGGTTGGAGTTTGGCAACATTATCGTCGTCGTCGTCATTGTCAATGCACTCATACATTGCACAACATTGTCCATTATCCACTAGTTATGTTATATAATTTATGATATCTGTTTGGTATAAAAAGTAATGAGACGCACAAAATATCAACAAACTACCGGGTTTCTGGGTTGATTTGCAAGGTACTACATGGCTTAACTACTTTTTACTTAGGGGTTAATTGGTAAAAATCGCACACAAATCATACAACGTCACTGACAACGCCGGGGACGGCAACACGATTTTGAGATTAATTTTCCGAATAAAGTTACCGGTATACTAAATAACTTCTAATATCGAACTATTGTCTTCAGTTGTCTTTGTTGGTCATTCAACTGTCATTTTATCTATTTTTTCCGTGATATTACCTTTCTCAATTAACTATAAAACAACCACATAACAACGTCACGTTAGATCGCTCGGTGGGGACGCCGTGGTGACGCTGGTGGGGTCAATTTTCGTCGGAAGGTATCAAGATGATAAACAGTTTCTTGCTTATGCTAACCGCATGCTTACCTAGATTATACTGACACTGGTTTTAAATCACGGTCAAGTAGTTTAAAATTACCTAAAATAACCTTATTTTGCGAATTAGCACCCCTCAACTGATCATCGATCCCCCTCACTTCACCTTCGCGCCCCATCAGCCCCCCTCCCATTTTAAGACATCTAGATACGCCACTGACTTACATGGCCAGATAACTAAAAATATTCAATCGATGTACCACCAAATCGTAACCAGCCTTCACCATGCCCTCACGATGTCACCGGGGACGCAACTGCCAAAAAACTATTTTTGGCAGCGAAGGGACGCTACTAATAAACAATCAACAAAAACTACCAAGTTTCTGGGTTGATTTGCAAAGTACTACATGGCTCAACTATTTTTTACTTAGGGGTTAATTGGTAAAAATTGCACACAAATCATACGACGTCACTGACAACGCCGGGGACGGCAACTTGATTTTTTGATTAATTTTCCGAATAAAATGACTATAGCACCTCTAGTTGGCCAGAAATGGCGCTCTCTGACTTCAATTTCAATATACAGTAATTTTATTTTTTTTCCCACTTTTACATTTTAAAAAAAATTGGGAGGGTGGGACGGATGGGCCCCCTTGAATCTGCCACTGAAATACTCATCATAACAAGTTTTTCAATTTATCTTTGTAATCATAATCATATTTCGTGCAAACTAACATTCATAAAATTTTTGATTTATTATCTACTGATTAGTTTTGACATATTTTAAACCATGAAAAATCCATCAAAGTTTTTAAATTTCACTTTTTTACAAGTAGTATTGCGACTACACTATTGTGAGTGGAATCACTACCGCCTAGGGAGATTGGAAGCACACAAAACATTAGTTAGCATTTTTATTTCACAAACATAGAGGTGTTTACTTAATTTATCCTTATCGCGAGATTGCGTCAACGTAACATCTGAGTTCGTAAACGTGCGGTATCACTACATTAATAAATTCCAAATAGATAGACCTATCTGTGTCAAAGGCCGTATAATTATTGTTTAATAACGGCTAATATAAAATTCAATTGACTAAATATAAATTTTTGAAATTAGGAAAAACAGGAATTTATGTATGCAGATAATATTAACACTAGCATATACGGGTTTTAATAATATACAAAATGAATAAATCACTTATAGTATAAACTGTGCACTTTTTTGTTTTCACAATAAATTTAGGCTCGGTTGCATCCCAGTGGCCGATCCAGGAATTTGAAATAGAGGGGGCCCAAAGAGGGACTTTGGCAGATGGAGGGTCTACCGAGCCCCACCTTGGTTGGGGCTGAGTTACGAAAATTTATGATTATGGGAGCTCTAGATGGCCGGAAATGGTAGGCCCTACTCTTAGGCTCAAACTTAGAGTAGAATCTTCTTTTTTTTTCTCAATATATTTTAAGTTCTCCACTGTACGCATAAAATCGATGGATGGTTGCTGAGATGGTTACGAAATGTACAAACAAGTGCGTTTTTACTTGGTTTTGGTTTGAAAACTACGCACCGTACTTGGAACAGAGCACAAGTGAACAGACAATTCATGACAGTCATTCGTAATTGTTGTTGTTCTTTCCACTCGCTTTGAAAAGTGGGATTTTAATAGATTGGTGAAAAGTGTGGGGATTGGTGAAAAGTGGGGGGGGGATTGATACGATCCCCCCCTATTTTGGAAAGTGGGAGGGGGACGTGTCCCCCCGTCCCCACGCCAATGCGGGTGTAGGATCTCTGATCGTGAGTTCAAGATTGACGCCCATCACATTAATTTTGTCCTTGGGCAAGGCACTTTACTTTTGTTTGCCTCTCAAAACCCAGGAGTATAAATGAATACCTGGTAGGATGGTGTGGCATTGAACGTTTCAGACTGTGACTTGGGCTACTTACAGGAAGCAGAGAAAGTTGCACACAATGTGCTAGTTTGCTAACTCATCCATGCATTGACCAGGAAAATACCGATGCCAGCGTCTTGTATTCTCCGGATCGTGATAGACGCTATATTTAATAATGACACTGTTCCCTGAATTTGATATGTAAATTGGGATTCTAAAGAAAGATCAATCTACGCTTCATAGCATTTTCAGAACACAAATAAAGGAAATAGTATATACCTAGCCACCCAATCACATCAAATTCCGTCTCAAGGTAAATGGCAATATCCTCAATAATTGACGTGCTGTTAAAACTATTATTATTATTGTTGTAGGCGTACAAACATTGTTACGCATGCATGATTGTAGTACTGTATAGTGTTTAGCAGAGCCGTGTACCACGACCAAGTATGGAGGTGCGTCAGCATTTGTCTATTGTAAATGGTATTAGTTTTCTTTTGGTGAGTTGGAATAGAACTAGGCCTATCTGTTAATTTTAAAAGTCACACTCTAGAACAGTTTAATCAGTCATAAATCCTTGTTTAGTGCCTTTGCGGCGGATTGACAGACACTACTACTAGGCCTACTGCTTTCAGTCAACGTCGTCTGAAAATGTAGGCATCCCAAGCCAAATTCATGAACGACTTAACATTAGTGTAAGGTCGCATATGAGCTGCCACTGAATGCAAGTAATATATTGCAGTGCATTTAAGTTTAGTACATGTATTTTTAATTTGACGGACACACAGTATAAGAGTAATGTTGTCCCAAACAATTCAAGACATTATCAGCATATTGCTTATTACAGTAGCTTCTCTTTCCGGTCCAATAGGCCTATTCATATCAATGCGCTATTGTTATTCTTCATGCATGTATTATAGGCCTATGTTTTGTTTTTTTTTCTTAATAAGAGAGTTTGTCAACACTCTCAATAGTCAATACTTTCGTTTCGTTTTTGTTTTCGTTTCGTTTACTTTCTGTAAATTTCATAATATACTAGAGATAGACCTACAAAGTGCTAAGATAAAGTGAAAAAGCATAAATGGAAGCCAGGCCATAATGTCGGAGCCAAGAGTAGCCAATATGATAAAATCCCAAAGGTGGCCTAAATGAATATAAACACACTAATTTAATGGTGTCGCCCTAATACATATTCCCACTGTTTTAGGCGAGACTTTTTATTCTTTGTTTCGCGTACTTATTTTTTATAAGATTATCGTTGGAGGGCGGAATAAAAATAAAAATAAAATTTTGTTTTCTTATTTAGCAAATAGTTTTGCCAAAACATCCAGATGGAGGAGAAAATAAAAATAAAATTTTATTGGTGAATGTAAAATGGGGTGGTTAAATGCTTCAAATTTGTATAATTAGGAAGAAATATACATTTCTTATCTTTGGAGATTTCAAGGCAGCGGAGGGCGTAATAAAAATGAAGAAAAACTTTTTTTTTTTTAATTTCTAAATTTCCATTTTTTTCATGGCGGCGGGTGAGCTACTTGGAAAAAAATAAAATTTTATCTTTATTCGAAATCATGAATATTTGCATTTAAAAATAGAGATGATCGATTTATCTCAGTTTCAGTTTTATTGGCTCACACTTTTACAACAGTAGTGCTTGGTTCACGTCGAACTTTTATCTAGATATACATCCACTTAACTAGTTAAAAGTTCGACGTGAACCACTCAATTATAGCTCGTTAAAGGAATTAAGTCACTTAAGTTAAGTGACTTAACTTTACTAGAATAACGGTAAATTAACTTGCTTAACGGTAAAGTCGGCTCGGATTACAAGGACACGATTACGTAACGTGGCTGGCAACAACGTACTCCAACAATGCTAACAACAACAGCAAAGTAGTCTCATTATTCTGGTTTTTAGAAATTATTTGTAATATTATGGGTAAAAACCAATCCAGCTAACGTCGGTTTTACGAATAGTCGATATTACCAATGACCTTTGCCCTTTGCATCATCGACCAAGTAATAACGTTAAAAAGTCCGATTGAGTACGTTTTTCAAAGTGATAATGTATATTTTTCTTAATAATAAAATCAGATTTGTTGTATTTATTTATTGACAATTCAATCTTTTCT